CGAGAGAGAGAGAGGGTGGGGAGGGGCAGCGGGAGAAGGAGAAGTAGACTCCCCACTGAGCAGGGAGCCCAATGCGGGACTCTTTGCCAGGACCCTGGGATCATGATCTGGGCCGAAGGCAGATGTTTAACCGACTGAGGCACCTAGGAGCCCCCAAAATAGTTTTATATGTGTAAGGCAATTTTTAGTCTGTAGCTTGGCGTACGTGTAGATTTGTAGATGCTACAAATAAAATCCATATGTGGTCCCAGTATGTACTTTCCACAAACTGGGAACTGCTGCTGTATTCTAACATTTTAAGAGTTCCAGACTTAATTATAATGTGTTTGTGTTGCGGGGGGTGGCATTCCTAACACCAACAACTAATTGTCAGATACTGGCTGGGTGTCCTACAGTTCAGCTCAGTTCTGACTCTGTCTACCTGGAAATGGCATCAGATTCTACAGGTTAAGGGCGCAGTCCTACAAGACTACCCTTTACTTCAGATAACACTTGCAAGTCCAGGTTGTCGTCTGTGCTTCTAACCTATTGGAGGTTCCAAAGACCCCCTCCCTGGGTTTAACTTGCCAGAGTGGCTTTCAGAACTGAGAGAAACATTTTACTTACTTGATCACCAGTGTATTTAAAAGGATATATAACTCAAGAACCCCCAGATGGAAGAGCTGCGGAGGGCAGGATATGGGGAAAGGGTGCAAAACTTCTGTGTTGTCTCCTAGTGTACCACTCTTTCCAAATCTCCACGTTCACCAACCCGGAAGTCGTGTCCCCCCACTTCCTTGGGTTTTTATGGAGGCTTCCTTATGCAGGCAGGGTTGATTTAATCATTGGCTGTTGACCATTGAGCTCAGTCTCCAGCCTTTCTCCCCTTCATGGAGGTGGGAGGTGGGGTAGGGGTTGAGGGTGGACTGAAAGTTCTAATCCTCTGATCCCTTGGTTTATTGTCCTGGCAATCAGCCTCCCATCTTTAGGCGGGGTCCAAAAGTCACCTTGGTAACACGGACAAAAGGTACTTTGGTTGTTTTCATTGCTTAGGAAATTCCAAGGGTTTTAGGAGCTTTGTATCAGAAAGGAGATGAAGATCAAATAATATATATTTCTTTTTGTAAATCACAGTATCACACATCTTCCTTCATTAAATAGGTGAAGAACTTGGGCTTAGATATATAAAAGGGTTTATCCATAGTTGAACAGTTCAGAGCTAGAACTAGATACTAGAATATTTTGATTTCTTGCCTTGTGTTTTCATGCCTTTAATTGCCTGGATATTTCTGAGTTTTTGCTTTGAAATAAATTTTAACAAACTGGAGATCTAACAGCAACAATTGAAAATCATCATCTAAATTTGTTATTTCCAGGTCTTTGAGGAAACTGGTTTTGACATCAAAGATTATATTTGTAAAGATGATTACATTGAACTTCGAATCAATGACCAGCTTGCTCGTTTGTACATCATTCCAGGAATTCCAAAAGACACAAAATTTAACCCGAAAACCAGAAGAGAAATTCGGGTATGTAATTGAGAAGTATTTTCAGGCTGCTGGACAGTATCCCAATTGAATGAAGTAGGAAATTGCTTTTAGAAACTCCTTGATGATAATTAACTAAATGAATTATTTTTTTGTGTCTCAGAACATTGAGTGGTTCTCCATTGAGAAACTGCCCTGTCATAGAAATGATATGACCCCGAAATCCAAACTTGGTTTGGCACCTAACAAATTTTTTATGGCCATTCCCTTTATCAGGTATGTTCCTATTTCTTGAAGTACAAAACTAATTCTGGTCGTTTTTTACGTTAGCTAGGTTTTAAGAGTGAATTCTTAATGTTTCCATAGACCACTAAGGGACTGGCTTTCGCGGAGATTTGGAGATTCCTCAGACAGTGACAATGGATTTTCCTCAGTTGGTAGCACACCAGCTAAACCCACTGTGGAAAAATTGAGGTAAAGAAATATATTCATAGGATTCCTACTTTGATAGTTTTTAATGCAGTAGCCTTTTCCTTCTGAAGTTTACAGAAGTATTGGATTCCTTTTTGTAGTGTATTATTTTGCTACTGGTCTTAGAGATAATAGAAAAATTTTTTAAAGGGTTTTTGATGAGATGAAAAAGGTTAATTGGAGTTGGAAAGGAGCTTCAGGCACATTTTAAAATAGTATACACAAGAGGGTACCAACTTTTTAGATGGGTAGATAGAACATGAGGAAAAGAAAAAAAATCTGCCACTGTGTGTGTTGCTATTGTTCTCTGTTCTCATATCCTACTTCAGAGACAATTGAGTCTCTGAAGATTGTTGAATGGAGGATATATTGAGGTCTGTTTTTGTATAGGGGAGATGAGGAATGCTGATGTATAATTTGTTCAGAAAGATAGAACTGTGAAGACTTGGGCTTGCTGCTGTTCTTTCTCTAATAAAGACTGTTGTACTGTAAAAAGTGACTGTTACATGGACAGGAACCACAAAGAACGTTTTCTTGGTTGGCACTTAATTATATCCAAATTGCAATTATAGAGTAGGCTGAGCAAATAATTTTGTTAAATAAGCATATATATTTGTAATAAGCTTGCTAGAACTTATGTATGTTTCAGAGAGTTGGTTGCATTATACATTTTATTTAATTTAGATGTTCTGATTCTGTCTGAGGGCTTCAAAAATTAAACAGGAACAAACCACATCTAGAGTTAATATTTTTTTTTTAAAGATTTTATTTATTTATTCATGAGAGACAGAGAGAGAAGCAGAGGGAGAAGCAGGCTCCCCGCTGAGCAGGGAGCCCGATGCGGGACCCGATCCCAGGACCCTGGGATCATGACCTGAGCCGAAGGCAGACGCTCAACCATCTGAGCCACCCAGGCGCCCTAGAGTTAATATTCCTGTCCTCATAAAACCCAACTAAGATGGAATATTCCCTATGTATTTAGAGTTAATATTTTTTTAAATACATAGGGAATATTCCATCTTAGTTGGGTTTTATGAGGACAGGAACTTGGACTAAATGCCTTGAGAGTCATTTCTGCCTTTCAGAACCTGTGATTATAATCACCGAATTATATACTACTAGACATAAATGGAACACTATAGGAAAATAGGAGTGTAGCTAAGATTTAAAAGAAACATACTACTAAAAAGTTACAAAATCGTGACAGTGTTTGGAAAACAGTGGTATGACTGTTCGTGTTTGGGAGACTCTGTCCACCATAGTGTGTGATGTGACTCCCATATCTTTTAGTCCTAAGCCTTTGTGGTCTTGGAGAGTGGAGTAAGGACATTATGAAGCAACTTGAACCAAATTTCAGGTTTCTTAGGCAAGATGGTATGTTTTTAGCATATAGACTAATGTCTGTGATGATGTGTTGGAGGAAATACCTGAATTTTGTCTCAAGAAAGTAGGCCTGCTGCAATTTTATTATAATTTTTAAATGGGAAAGGAGAAGAACGCTGAAATATTCAGAAACAATCACTGTAGTACAGTTCTTTGGATCAGTGACTCTGGACTGTTATTATACATGTAAGCAGTACTATAAAATGGCATTTCTTTATTACAAACTACTGTGTGAGTACAACCTTTTACAATCAGATTCTTTCACAGACCTTTGTTTAATTTGCTTATCTATTGTCTTGGGCCCTTTAATTTTTTGCTTTAGAATATAGCTTAAATTTTCAGATCCTCTTTTAGCATGGAAGGGATTTATAACCGACCTGTGTAGGATCAAATTCCACACTTCAGACATCTTGGTTGAGAATGAGTTGTCTCCCCTAATAAGAACGAATATCCACTTATATTTGTTTGTTTCAACTAAATTTAGAATTATTTTCTTCAGGTTTTTAAAGGTATAATCACTTATAGGGAGGAGGTAATATGGATAATTTAGGAAAGTTTGGGATTAAAAATAAAAATAACACCATTCATTCATTCAAGAAATAGTGAACACCAGGCACTTTTCTGGGTGCTGGGAATAAAGCAGTAGGTAAAGCAGATAAGCATCCCTGCCCTTATGGAACTTGAATTCCACTGCAGGGAGGTAGACAGTAAATAAGAAAGTAAAGTTTGTGATCTGTAAGGTAAACTGTCAAGGTGTTAGAAGAATTTTAAGTAAAAATTTTGTGATCTGGTTTTTATTTTTTAAATCTTGATGTAGTCGAACCAAATTCCGCCACAGTCAGCAATTGTTTCCTGAAGGTTCTCCTGGTGACCAGTGGGTAAAGCACAGGCAACCACTGCAGCAAAAGCCATACAATAATCATTCTGAAATGTCTGACCTTTTAAAAGCAAAGGTGAGTGATAATACATTTAAAGATTTTCATAACTTTAGATTTGACTTTGAAATGTATCTGAATTGAAGAATTGCATAGTAACAGTTACAGAGCTCTGAATTGTTGATCAGACTTCTGTGTTCCTGGCTTGTGATTTGAAGCGCAGCTTTCGTAACCTTTACAGTTTAGTATAAATACAGTGTAGTAAGTAAGAAAAAGTACCATCTGACTTTGGTATATATGCCATCAATGAAGGGTTTATTATTGTGTTGTATTCTAGTGCATGATTATACCACACTTTATCCATTCTACTCTTAATGGACATTTTGGTCATTTCCAGTTTTGGGCTTTGCAAACAATGCTGCTATGGATATTTCTGTACGTATATTTTGATGAGCATTCTTTTGTGTATAGGTAATGAACAGAATTTCTGAATCACTGTATATGCCTGTTCTCAAGTTATCCCCAGCCAAATATATGAGAGCTCCACTTGTTGCACATCCTTACTAATTCTTGGCATTATCTGTCTTTACCATTTTAGCCATGCATTTGGCTGCCACTCTTCTTTGTTTTCATTCTTTTAAAAAATATACTGGGTTCATCAAAATTACAAACTTGTGCATCAGAGGATACTCTCAAAGAGTGAAAAGATAACCCATAGAATGAGAGAGTATATTTGCAAATCACATATCTGATGTTAGATTAACATTCAGAACTCCTCTAACTCAATAACAAAAAACCCCAATTAGTGCTCACTTCAGCAGCACATATCCTAAAATTGGAATGATACAGAGAAGATTAGCATGACCTCTGTGCGAGGCCAACAAGCACATTAGTGAAAAACCCCAATTTAAAAAATGAGCAAACAACTTGAATAGACATTTCCCCAAAGAATATATGCAGTAAACACATGAAAAGAATCTCAGCATCATTAGTCTTTAGAGAAATGGAAATCAAAACCACACTGAGATACTGCTTCACATCCATTAGGATAGCTGTAATAAGGGAAAAAAAAAAAGGAAAATAGCAAGTGTTGACAAGAATGTGGAGAAATTAGAATCCCATGCACTTTTGGTGGGCATGTAAATGGTACAGCTGCCATGGAAAATAGTTTGGTGGTTCCTCAAAAAGTTAAATACAGAATTACCATGTGATCCAGCAATTCCACTTCCTTGGTATATACCTCACAAAATTGAAAGCAAGGACTCAACCAGGTAACTTGTATACCAGTGTTCATAGCGGCATTATTCACAAGAGCCAAAAGGTGGAAACAGCCCACATGTCCGTCAACAGATTAACAAATGAACAGAATATACATACAGAGGTATATTAGTTGTAAAAAGGAATGAAATTATAACACACACATACTACAACATGGTCATTGAAACTTAGACACATGCTGTGTGAAATAAGTCACACCATTGACAAATACTGTACCATTCTGCTTATATTTGGTACCCAATAGACAAATTTATGGATATAAATTAACTTAGGGTTACCAAAGCTGAGGGACAAGTTAATAAAGAGTTATTTAATGGATATAAAGGTTCTGTTTGGGATGATGAAAAAAGTTCTGGAGATGGATACTGGTGGTGGTTGCACAACATTGTGACTATACTTACTGCCACTGAATTGTACATTTAAAAGTAGTTATAGTGGTAAACTTTATATTTCTTCTACCACACTAAAATATACCAGGAAGAGCAGAATGAATGAAATGGAGTTAAAAGTATGTGTAACATGAGTTTCTGTAAACCTATTTCCTTACTATTTTTTTTTTAAGATTTTATTTATTTATTCGACAGAGAGAGAGACAGCGAGAGAGGGAACACAGCAGGGGGAGTGGGAGAGGGAGAAGCAGGCTTCCCCTCGGAGCAGGGAGCCCGATTGCGGGGCTCGATCCCAGGACCCTGAGATCATGACCTGAGCCAAAGGCAGATGTTTACCGACTGAGCCACCCAGGTGTCCCTTCCTTACTATTTAAAAAATGATTTTTTTTAAATTGGAGTATAGTTGACAATGTTACATTGGTTTCAGGTGCACAACATAGTGATTCATCATCTCTGTATGTTACCACAAGTGTAGCTCCCATCTGTCACCATAAAACCGCCGTATGTATAACGCTGTTACAGTGTGATTGACTATATTCCCTACATTGTGCCTTTTATTCTTGTGACTTATTCATTCCATAACTAGAAGCCTGTATCTCCCACTCCCCTTCACCCATTTTGCCCATCCCCCTTTTGGCAACCATCAGTTTGTTCTCTGTTCCTTACCATTCTTTATTTAAGTTTGCTTATTGTTGGGATGCCTGGGTCGCAGTCAGAAGAGCACACAGCTCTTGATCTTGGGTCGTGTGTTTGAGCCCCATGTTGAAATAAAAACTTTAAAAAAAAGCCTATTGTTTTCAAGCTGTTTTAGGAACTGCTTAACTTTTTTTGTAGGTAGGTAGAATATAAACAAATATATTTTGATATTTTAAAAAATGCAATAAAATAATTATTTTATTCACGTTGTTTTAGTCTTCTTAACTAGTTGTCCTATTAAGACCTCTAGGGACAAATTAATGTTTAAAAACTTTATTTTTTAAGTTAAACTTAGATTTTTGGGGGGGTAAGAAAATTAACTGTTAAATATACAGTTGCAAAATGTCAACTAAGGCATGTTTAGGCTTTAGGTCTAACTTTAGAGATAATGGCCTAAGTTTTTAAAATACCACTCTTTGAGGCACCTGGGTGGCTCAGATATCTGCCTTTGGCTCAGGTCATGATCTCTGGGTCCTGGGATCGAGCCCCACGTTGGGCTCCCAGCTCAGTGGGGAGTCTGCTTCTCCCTCTCCTTCTGCCTCTCCCCCTGCTTGTGCTCTCTCTGCTCTTCCTCTATCAAATAAATAAATAAATCTTAAAAAAAAAAACAGTCTTTATTTTGTATAAAAGATTATTAATTTAAAAATGTTTACTTGTTTATTAATAATTTAAAGCAGATTTTAGGGTAAGAGTTGATCACATCTGCTATATATTTCTTGTTTTAAGAACTGTGGCCAATGTACCTTTGCATTCCCCTCACAGAGAGGTTATTTTGACAGTCGCATAAGGTTTTCAAACTTGTTCCTCTCTCCTCCTCCCCCTTTTTTTTTTTTAACTCATGCATTGTAAAGAAAATCTGTACGCAGAAATGGGATAAGACAAGAGTCCTAGGGACCATTATATTTGCTATTTCGTACCTTTAGAGGAATCTTGTTTTGTGAAGCACTATGTTCTGTAAGAAAACACATGATGTGGTTCCCTAGTACTTTAGGAAAATTTGGGGGTACTTTGCTAAACTCTTACTCAACCAGCTAAACATAATCTTGGGGGTATATGCTTTTGTCCTGTTATATTATATTGTAGGTTTACATTTTACTTCTTCTCATTGGAAAAACAGAATCAAAGTATCAGGGGAAATGGCAGAAAACAGTATCAGGATTCACCTAATCAAAAGAAAAGAACAAACGGGGTCCACAACCAGCCAGCCAAGCAGCAGAATCCCTTGATGGTAAGACTTAAAGCTCTAACTCAAAGAAGGCAGTTCACCCTATTTTTAGGAGTGGAGCAAGGGCATTGTCAAAGCACATTGAATTGATATATTGATAAGATTTTATGGAGTGAAATTGTGCATTATTTGCTCACTTAAAATCTCTGGCTACTCTGTTACAGGTTTGTCACATTGATTCAGTTGCACATCTGATTTTTGCTTTTTTATGTGGGTATTTAAATATTTTTTAGTACTGCAAAAACAGTGTGTAGTCAACTCTGCTTTCTAGAAAGAGCAAGTCCTTGGCTATTTTTCTAAATAGAGTCTGTATTGTTTTAATAAAGTTGAAAGTTGGGAAGAACGTCACGGTGTATTTTTTTTCCTTCAATTTGATAGAATTTAGAAAATTAAAAATAAAGCCAGTGCCATAGCCCTTAGACTAGGCCTGCAGACAGACAACTGTGAGCATTTTAAGGCATTTACTTCCACTCTTTTAGTCTGTGCTCCAGAAAGTAGCAGTTCATAACTAATGGGTCTCCATTGCTTATCTTTTCTGTAAGTCCTGGTATTTGTATGTTGAGTTTTCTTGTTGTAGTTTCACCTACTTTTCTTTTTTAATAATGGGTGATAATAGTAGTTTTAACGTTTTAGCAAACATTTTTTACCTGAATTTCTATTTACTGTTTACTTAACTTGGGGTGTATTGATTTCACGGGCAAACACATGTAAAAGATCAGTTTACTGTTAGATTACTTGCCTTTTACTATTATACTTTTTTCCTGTCAGATTGGCACAGATGAAAAGAGAGCCATTTGTATATTGTTGAGTGTTTTGACAACACTTAAAAATAACTAATTGGTAAAACCTTCTAGAGAGTAGCTTGACTATATGGAAAGCCTGAAAAGGTTCTTAAATTATTGCTCTAGAAGAAAATTTTAAAGAATGTTCATCCCATTATTCTTTTGAATAATGAAAATATGGAAACAGTCTAAACATCCAAGAATATAATTTTAAATGCGATATTACAGATCTATGCAATGGACTACCATGTAGTCATTAAAAATGATGGTGTGGTTTTATATTTATTCACAAAAATGTTCACAGTATACTACACTTAAAAAGTAGATTGGGGCACCTGGGTGGCTCAGTCAGTTAAGCGTCCAACTGTCCAACTCTTTATTTCAGCTCAGGTCATGATCTCAGGATCGTGGGAATGGGCCCCATGTGCTCGAGCCCCATTTTGTGTTCCGTGCTCAGTGGGAAGTCTGCTGGAGTTTCTCTCTCTCCCTCTGCCCCTTTCCCCCACTTGCATGTGCTCACTCTTTTTCTCTCTCTCTCTAAAATAAATAAATCTTTAAAAAAAGTAGGTTATAGAATAGTCCTATGTACTGAATAATTCCACTTAATTTTTAGTAATTATATGAAAATTTACAGTATCTTCATAGAGAAAAAGCTACAAAGATATGCCAAAATGTTAATACCTAATTATCTTTGGGTTGAGAAATTTAATGAGTAATTTTCTTTTTCTGGTGTTTCTATATTGTACATGTAATCAAGAACTAAAAAAAATTTTAGGCTTAAATAAAAATACTAGTGGAAGACTGGGGATGGTGATTATATTACTGAGAAATTTGATCATATATCTTCTCATTTATAGTAAGTAGAATAACTGCAACTGGTGTGTTGTGTGTTTGTTTTTTTAGAAATGTGAAAAAAGACTTCATCCACGAAAACTTCAGGATAATTTCGAAACAGGCAAGTCATTTTCTTTTTAAAATCTCTGGTGGGATTTGATTTGGTTTTGGCCTAACCTTGATTTTAGTTGAGAGTATGATGGACTGTGAAAGATAAGCAGGAAGAGTTGTACATGTCTGCAGAGTTCAAATGTGTGGTCATGTTCTCTAAATATGAAACTCGCTAAAATGACCTTAAATGATCAAGATGAAATGATTTTCCCTTTCAGTGTGCTGTTTTTGTGTGTGAATGTCAAACCTTGGTGCTATGTTTGAACATTGTAAGTCAGTAATTATTAGTGAGAGGGGAGTAGAACCAAGTATTGTAAAGGTGAGGAGACCTCATTCTCATATATATATATATATAAGAGTACTAACTTCAGAATGGCAACATTTCCCACTTTTAGGAGGTAATGAGCAACTTTTTAAGGAGGCACTATGGATAGCTTTTTTTAAAATGACATCTGGAGCTTTTCCTTTGTCAGTTATAAAGAGTAGGTGTGTTGATCTGATTTGGAAGGTAATGGTGATGAATGTAGAAAGTTCTTTGGTAATATTGATTTAACTGACGTCATTTGGAAGTACAGTAGACTTTTCTTACGTGATGTT